GCCAGAGACACCAAAATCCTTTTACCTGTGAAGGGTAAAGAAGCTCAGGTAACCTGGCTGACACCTGACCCAAAGGACCAATAAGGGGACAAGATACTTTCAAATCTTGGTGGGGGGGAAGGCTTTTGTTTGTGCTCTTTGTTTTGGGGGTTGTTGGCTCTTGGGACTAAGAGGGACCAGACATCAATCCATGCTCTCCAAATCTTTCTGAACAAGTCTCTCATATTTCAAATCTGTAAGTAACAGCCAGGCAAGGCGTGTTAGTTTTATCTTTGTTTTCTCAAATTGTAAATGTTCCTTTTGCTAGAGTGTTTACCTCTGTTTACTGTAACTTTGAACCTAAGGCTAGAGGGGGTTCCTCTGGGCTCTTTGAATCTGATTACCCTGTAAAGTTATTTTCCATCCTGATTTTATTGAGATGATTTTTACCTCTTTCTTTCTTTAATTAAAAGCCTTCTTTTTAAGAACCTGATTGATTTCTCCTTGTTTCAAGATCCAAGGGTTTGGATCGGTGTTCACCAGGAAATTGGTGGAGAAGTCTCTCAAGGCTACCCAGGGAAGGGTTATAGTACTTGGGAGGGAGATATTCTGCGGGGGGAGGTAGACAGAGTTTCCCAAATAACTCAAATAATTTGAGTGGTGGCAGCAAAACCATATCTAAGCTGGTAGTTAAGCTTAGAGGTTCTCATGCAGGTCCCCACATCTGTACCCTAGAGTTCAGAGTGGGGAAGGAACCTTGACACAGACGATGCCCCACTCAGATGACTGTAGAACCAGATTACCTTCCTGGGAAGGTAAATGTACGAGAGCTCCTAGAAGGAGTTCAATTATCTCTTATTTTTAAACTAGAGTTTTAAGCTCCAAATCCTCAACTTCTGTAGAAGCATGTCGGCAAACCTTAAGCCTCAGTGCAGGCAGCCCTGGCAGGTGTCCAACACTGCCTTAAGAGACAAGAATGTGTTTGAGGGTAAAACGCTCTCTACAAAGGCTTATTTCCAGGCCTTCCTAAATAGAACTGAAGATGGTAACAGAGTAAGATAGCTTGTAAATCCATTTCACACACAAAGGAAGGCTGGATGCAACTACATGGTAATTAAGATTAACAGCCCATTTGCAAAGTTTAAGTACCTGACTTGAAATCTCAACCAGTACTCTTACATTTCCTACCACACGGACAAGACAGTTCACACTATTTACCTGTGTAGAGGAGTACAGGTGGGTGTATCCCAGCCTGTTATAGTCCACTTTAAACTGAAACACTCCATAGACATCCGGCAGCTTGAACTGCACACTGTATCTGCCACCTAGGAGAGAGGCAGGGCCATTTAAATTACACAGTAAATAGAACAAGAGCATTAGGAGTTAAGAGCCTCATTGGAAGTTCTTTCCTCGCCTCCTTTCATTTGTCAGGGCCCTCTGTCTCCCCCAAACCCACTTTGTGGCGCTTTTCACCCAGACGGAAGACTAGCCTCTGGAACCCAAAGCTGCTCCACTGGAAGAAGGAGCTGTAGGAGAGCTGTGTGAAGTGCACCCTTCCTCTTAGCAGTGGAGCATGCTTCCCACAGCGATTCTGTACACTACCTGCTCAGAAGAACCGTAGCCTTCCAAGTCAGTATATATGAGCGAGGTGAGTTTTAGTGGTGGGGGAAGAAGTCAACACCCAGTCTTTTGTTATTGTTAAAGCCCTAGGGCAGGAAACATTAATTGTCCGATAGGAGACCTACCATTTTTCTTCAGAAAAGTCCTTACAAATGGATCAATGCGGACAAACTCCAGCTGAATATCATCTCCATCAAAGGGGACCCACTTCCCGTCAGAGAGCTTTTCAATCACAATGTTGTACTCCTGTAACATACAAATGCACGCTGCATTAACAGAGGCATAAAGGAAGAGGACGCATTGTTAATGAGTAGGGCCCTACCAAAGTCACAGCTGTGAAAAACATGTCATGGACCGTGAAATCAGATCTCTCCCGTGAAATGTAGTTATTGGAGGGGAGGGGCAGGGCTGGGGACACCCCAACCGGGAGCTCCTACCATTCACTGGGCTCAAGCTGCTAGTCTGGGGAGGGACAGGACTTCCTCTTCCCCTGAATGGCCACTCTTGGGAGGGGACCAGACTCAGCTCTAGCTATCTCCCCCGGCTGTAGGAAGCTCTGCAGCTGCACACAGTCCTGAAGGCAGGACAGAAGTGAGGGTGGCAATCCCGTGAGAGCGCCCCCCCTCACCAAACAACCACTTTTGGATCAGGACCCTCCATCTGAAAACATGAACACCTGAAAATGCGAAATTGACTAAAATGGATCATGAATTTGGTAGGGCCCTATCAATGAGCTAAGAGTGATACCTGAAATCTCAATCCTAAACTATGAACTCCACTTTCCATGAAATCAAGGGGGACAACAGGGAATTTTCCAATAACTGCTATTTCCAAAATAAGAGTCCAAGTGAGTTTCCACACTTGGAAATGCAGCTGAGCTACCATGCACTGAAAATCAAGCCAATACTCAGTAGCAAATCAGTGAGTGGGCACATCAATGTAGAATTGACTTGAATTTGAGAGTGCTATACTTAAACTCTTTAGGCATGCTAAGCTCTCTCCCCTCCCCCCAATATATAGCTGCAATTTCTATTCAACGCACAAGGTATTTCAGGCTTGCCAATGTACTGTTTTCGTATAATGAAGCTTGGCATCACGAATCTGAGTGAAATGGAGGTAACAGGGAAGCTAAAATTCCAGCACGTGCTTTTGATCAGGCTCAGATACCTGTTTATCAAGAAGATTCATGACTGAAGAGAAACCATTTGCAAGGATAACCAACCCCCCCTTAGCAAACTTAGGTAATACTTAAGATAACAGAACACAGACTTCTCCAGAGCTGGCTGCTTAATATTGAATGATACTCAAGTATGAGCCATGAGCAGTCTGAAATTTAGTATTAAGTGAAAGTTACACGTAGGAACTAAAGGTTAGTTAGACTCTGCCTCCACATTAGTGGAGAAACACAGTCAAGAAGGGGACGGTTCCTACAATTAAGAGGAAGAAAAACCCCACCATGTTATATTTCCTCATGGCCTCTGAAATTTCACACCTTGGCTGGTGAGGCCCTGGGTGCCAACCATCATCTTTCCAACCAGAAAAGAGGAGATAAATCTGCTTCCACAACACTCCTAGCCCAACGAACAAGAGTACATTCTCTCTGCACAAGTCTATTTGACTCATTTTCCTACAGTCAGTCTTACCACGAGGTCGGTGACAGTGTAGGCATTAGGTGGTGATCTCTCCCCTACACGATGGTGAGATACCTCTCCAACCCGCAGCACACCCTCTTCCTTGAATACCCAGCGGGACAAGGCAATAGCCAGCTCGTAGTTACCAGTCTGAGAGTACCTAGAGATGGTGAGAGGTTGAGAACAGAAGCATGGAGACTGCAATGGAGGGCATTCATAGCACCAAATATTTTTTCAGTCAGGTATCCTATGAAGTTTCTCCAAGAACTAAATGCAGTGCCTTGCATAATGACAGGTTTCAGAGTAGCAGCCGTGTTAGTCTGTATCCGCAAAAAGAACAGGAGTACTTGTGGCACACTTGGGGCATCCGAAGAAGTGGGTTGTAGCCCACGAAAGCTTATGCTCTAATAAATTTGTTAGTCTCTAAGGTGCCACAAGTACTCCTGTTCTTTTTCCAAGAACTAAGTGCCATATCAGAAAGTCAGCACCCATTTTAAATGATCACATTACTTGGAAGTTTTCCCCTAAGACTGATCTTTAGACCCCAACTGTCTACTAGGTCTTCTAGGTAGAGCTGCTTAAAAATACAGTGAAACATATTTTAACAGATCAGCACTGAAAGGAATTCAGTGCCCAGGTTTCCAACTTGCTCACTGATCTGATCTAGATCAATGCTCAGAGTATAATATTCTATGTCAAAATTTCCAAGTAAGAGCTGTGCCCACATTATGAATTGTGTTCATAGCATGTCTGAATACAATGGATGCAGAAACTGCTTCTCACACACCTATCATCAGGGTATCTATAAGGACAGGAGACAGCTATATGGGTTACCCAGCTTGACAATTTGCACTGCACTTAAAGGAAGTTTCACCTTCTTCTTAAGCTTTATTATGACCTAAACAGTGTCGATTTTACAGTAGCAGGGCTGGATAGTTATGACAGTATTCAGTATATTCCCATCAGTCATCTTTGACACAATTAGTTCTCATCACCTGCTAGGGATCCCTTGATCAAAGAGGTACCCAGACCACTTGGACAGAAAAGCCTGAATAGCCCACCCTACCTACAGAAGACCATGTTAAGCTAGTGCACCTCTGAGAGCCAGGTGTAGCTTTCTGCACAGCAGAGTTGAAGAAAGCATCGCTGAAGAAATCCAAGGAGCCACTGAAAACGACACGGGCGTTGTTCCTGGCCTGGAGACCAGCAATCAAAAGGGTATTCTTCCCAACAGCATGAGGGTACTGAAATTGGACAAGAATAGAGTTAAATCAGCACTAATGATTTGTATTATAGTAGCACCTTGAGGCCCCAACTGAGATAGGGACCCCAATGGGCTGGGTACTGTACAGACAAGACACATAGTAAGCCTGGATTCTTATTTGCTAAACAAATACCACAAACAAACATCATAAAGAGAAATAAAAGGTACAGGGATGACATGCTCAGATCACATGGCAAGTAACCAGAAACTCTCATGTTTAATATATATGGAAAGAAGGCATCAGGGATTTACGCTGCTTTATTAGGCAAGTACTGAAACTAGCCAGGCAGTATTATCCATGGGGTTTAAATAGTTAATAGTAGCAGGGAAACGTCTGAGAATTAAATGATATTGGACGATCTTTAAATTTTGCTGCTAGGTCTGGCTGGGGCCAAACAAGTACAATCCAAGTTATTATCGTCTTGTCAAAAGTCTTGTCAAACCTCATAAGCCTAATTAAAGGGAATGTTTAAACTACTCGTCTGCCTGTTCAAATACCCATTATGGAAGAGCATGTTAAGCAGACAGAAGTTGAACACATTTGCTGTCAGTTAAGTCCCACTCATGCCAACTTCCAGCTTATTATTTTTCTCTACATTTTCATCATGTCAATAAGTCATGGCACACAATGCATTTTTGCAGATTACTGCACTACCCAAGGGGAGAGAAGCATGAGGCTTCAACACAGCTGAGACACGCATCTCCCAGAATCTGCCAACTGCAACAGCATCTTTTTTAACCCCTTGAAGCTACAGAGCCTCAAAACTAAACAGAAGAACCACCTCATTTCACACTGGTCACAGTCCTGCTGGAAGATGGACAGAGCTTTCAATTACTACCAACTTGGTCCAAATTCTACCAGCATCTTAGAGGAAAAAGGCTTCAAATTCTATTGCCTGCCACAGTAGCAGTGGGGTTGAGAGCCTTTTGCTTCTACATCACCAGTTTGAATTCAGCCCCTTTGATACAGCCAAACAGTATCAAAGTTAAGAGCTGATATTTCTTCCAATGCAGTCTTGTTAGGCTTTTTCCATGTGGATCCAATGAAACTGCAAGTAAGAAAGATTTCCATGATAATATTAGAAAATATATAGTACTAAGAGACCGTGGACTGGAGCTTTGAAAAAACCAATAAGTATTTGACACAGAATATAAGAGGCTCTTGAGTTAAGTCTCTTGATCCATTTTTAAACTGTTGAAAGAGAGGTAATTAATTCCATAGGATTAGAAGCAAAAGAGGACAAAGATAGCTGTGCGTACCTGTGTGATGGGCTTATCTGGGAAGAAGGAGTAAGATGTAGAGGAGCCTGTCAAGATATCTAGGACCAGAGGGTTATCAGGATCAGCCACCATCCTGTGGTGAGAGAGACACAATCAAAGTACCAGGAAGACACCTGAAAGCTGGTCAAACCTGAGATACCTGCCCAAGAAGATTAGTGTGCACTAAATTCTGATTGAAGTCTGCTAACATATATGAAATTCACAGAGGTCGAGAACCATGGAATCGACTCAGCTCCTCCTGAAATTAGTGGCAAAACACACACTGAAGTCAATCAGGCCCAATTAATTTTATATCAACTGTTGACATTAAAATAGCATAACTATTCACAGTTGTTTAAAGAAATGCTATCACATCAAAGACTGAAGTTTCTTTTAAGAACAACCCTTTACAAAACTTGACATCAACAGAAGTGCTTCTATGTTCTAAATTCAAATACAAATAGTTTAAACAAACATGAGTACATGAGAACAGGAAGTGAATAGATACTTTCATTGTCCAAGTAGAGAGAAACAGAGTAAACAGCAAGTAGTAAAATACAATAACTCCTCACTTAACATTGTAGTTATGTTCCTGAAAAATGCGACTTTAAGCGAAACAATATTAAGCGAATCCAATTTCCCCATAAATGAGGAGGTTAGGTTCCAGGGAATTTTTTTTCCACCAGACAAAAGACTAATTATATATATATATATATACACACACACACACACATACACACACACACATATAAGTTTTAAACAATTTAATACTGGTACACAATGATGATGGTTGTGAAGCTTGATTGAGGTGGAGGAGTCAGAGGGTGGGATATTTCCCTTACTGCTAAATGATGAACTAGCAATTGGCTGAACCCTCAAGGGTTAACCCTCTCACTCTGCAAGGCAGCAGGCATGGAGGGAGATATGGGCATTTCCCTAAAGTACACTGCCTTGTTAATTAGGCCGCAGCTGCTATAAGCTCCCTCGGTCCTGAGCCCTGCTCTATGGAAGATAGGGTAAGTGGGGTGCAGGAGCAGGGGGACACCCTGACATAAGCCCCCCTCTTCCTTTCCTTCCCCC